AGAGAAACTGACTTTCGGAAGTTGGCAGAGCGTGTAACTAAACGTCTTAATTATTCAACGAGAAGCAATAAGCTCGTTAGAATTGCACGCTCTTTCAAAATAATGAAAGAAAAATGAATCTGGTGGTTGCCATGTTTATATTTACGGCCATATCACGTTGAAATACCGGTTCTCGTTCGATCAGTGGTGGACGTTTGGATGTGTGGGGGTGTAATGGGGGACATCTTTGTATGAGAAATCGAAAGTCTCGTTTTCATTCATTTTCGTGCCAAAAACCCTTGGGAAAAATATAAAACAAACTCTTCACAGTCCGAGCTCTGGGTAAATAGCAGGACAGATTGGGCAATATAGCTTTGGTTAGCAACTTGTTTAGCAGAAGGAAAACTGGATCCAAATCAGCCTAGAAATGGGTTGGCAGACATTTCCGATATAAGCCAACAAACAGCATGCTTTACGAATATGGAAAACTCTCGCCCTAAAAAGCCTGCAATTGTACCACGATCTAACATGTGGCATACGCTGACATAACATGTGGCATGCGGTGGTATAACATGTGGCATGCGGTGGCATAACATGTGGCATACGGGGGCATAACATGTGGCATAAAATGTGGCATACGGTGCACTAGTAAAAGATATGGTGTTATGATAGAGCGAAGAGAATGTGCATTGCAGGACACAGGAATCTGAATACTATAAACAATTCCCTTGTACATGTTGTCCAGCAAATTTTATATATATATACAGGGTGTCCCAAAATAATGTATACACTCTTTGAATCGTTATAAATTATTCAATTTATGCATTTTGACTTGTAAATAAGATTAATACAAGAGAAAGAAAACACATTTAAAGAATTTGAGAGTAAAATATATAAAAAAAAGATAAAAAATTAACTTTAAAAAGTTACTTGGGACAATGACAGAATGTTCCCATAATGATGAGTTCACATCAAGTGTTCAAACTGGTTGCCTTTCTGTTCAATACACTTTTCATATCTTGAAGAAATAGACCTACAAACGTCTAGTATCATTTCCTCAGATATTTGAGAACATTCTTCATCAATTGCTAATCTCATTTCTGCAATTGTTTCAGGTTTCCTGCTGTAAACTTTGTCTTTTAGAAAAAAACCCACAAAAAGAAACCCAAGGGTGTCAAATCTTGTGATCTAGGTGGGTATTCAACAGTCCCTCTTCTTCCAATCCATCTGTTATGAATATTTTCATCCATGTAAGTTCTCACATCACGATAAGGTATTATTAACTATTAATATTTAAAGAGTGTATACATTATTTTGGGACACCCTCTCAATATATGATTTTATAAACAGTGGCTACTGCTGCTAATGCAATGTTCTTCAACTAGAATCGAGCTCTCCTATCCACTAACGTGTTTCGTATAGTAAAAACGTTAAAATTTCCCATTTTCTTTGCCGTGCGAAAATAGCTTGGGAGAAGATTCTCTGACTGATGCTGAATCGGTCGGGTCTCGTATTTGAGTAACAATTCCACTTTTATACTTGAAAACGACTGACAAGCTTCCGTGGTAAGTAATAATAATATCAACTATGGACACGGCCATAAGATGCTGACCGTGTTTGGAAAATAAAACATCACTATAACGCTTGATAAATGCATAAAACAATCCATAGATTCAGTTAATTGTAAAATGAAATTCATTCTTGATAATGATCTTTCTTTGTATCCATTCTTAAAGAATTTAACTTATATCTTATGCATGAATACATTCCTAAGGAAGCGAGCCATAAAATCAGAAGACTACGACTTTCCGCTACAATGGTTGGTCGCACGAAGGGCAAGATAAAAAAAAAATAACCCTACTAGACAGACAAACGCACACAATTAAAAATGCATATTACCATTCGTTGCCCACCTAAACATACAAGAATCTTCAGAAACCTACATACCCAGAATATTCTACGGTTTTAATGCACGTGAAACGTGTCTGACCAATGAAAACTGACCTAAAGATAAGTGAAAATACCAATGTTTTTATCATTCTGTATGTTTTCTCTCAATATATATATATATATATATATATATATATATATATATATATATATATATAAACAAACATACATATCGTGATTTTCGGCCTCTCGCGTGGTATGACGTCATAGAAAGGCATGTCTGCTATTCTGCGACCGTTATCGTCGCATAGCAATCTTCTATGTCAGCATAACAAAATATCATCTTCGATCCGGAATATCTTTGTTTAAATGTCCGTATAGACATTCTAAAGATGGCTCATATGGGCCGAAACGTTAGATCATGTACCAAATTAACAAAAAAAATCATACAGATTTGTATTTGTCTTTATTTTCACCCAAAATTAAAGCAGGCATATGAACTTTTAGAACGGCTCATGATCAGACAGAAGAGACATTCACTGTCTATTATATTTAACAACACATTTACATATATAGATTCCATGATCTGATTCATATATAAATATAATAATATTATATATATATATATATATATAGTTATTTTCCAAGCATTGCTTAGATGTGGCATAAGGCCGAAAGTATGGGGCACCCAGTGAGGATCGAACTCAATATTCAGTCGTAATTTTTCTAGCAAGACAAGCTTCCTAACCATTACACCGCCTCGAGGTGCCCCGGTCTGTGTATATATATATATATATATATATATATATATATATATATATATATATGTGTGTGTGTGTGTGTGTGTGTGAGTGTGCGTGCGTGTGTGTGTGTGTATGTCTCTATTTTTTAAAAATATATGTGCGCGTACGTTTGTTTGTCTAGAGCCAATTTAATTTCAATATGCATATATATAAAGATATATATATATATATATATATATATATGAATATATGTGTTTGTATGCATGTGTGCGTATGTATGCGTAGCAACAAACTGATTTCAATATGTATTATACACATGTGTGTATGTGTGTGTGTCTAGAATTAATTTAATTTCTCATATTTTATATATATATATAGATATGTGTCTGTGTGTGTGTGTCTGTATGTGGGTGTGTGGGTTGTTTGTTTGTGTGTGTGTGTGTGTGTGTGTCTAGCAACAATTTAATTTCAATATCGTATTCTTGTACCGGGTTTGACTTTAAATATGACTATCTGCTTGACGAGAGCACGTAAGAATTCTGCGCTGAAATTTTAATGAAGAATATTGCCGCTTACTATAAAAAGAAAAGAGAAAAAAAAAGAATTAGAAATTTCAAAATGCTGTCTGCAAATATCTAATAAAACTCGGCTTTGAAATTAATAACTTAGAACTTTCACATAATTAATTCCCCAGCAAAGAAAAAAAAATATGTCAGTCAAATCAAATAAATAATTCCACGAGATTATATTTTCAGTCACAGACAAGCTTTGAGTAAATAACACATGACATATATATATATATATATATATATATATATATATATATATATATATATATATATATTAGAGTGTGCAGCATTTATATTATATCATAAAAAGTAACTTATCCAAAGAATTGATTAGCAATGTTAATAAGATTAATTTACTATCAATTTCTTGAATAATACGGTCCTTATATTTGAGTTGTATATTTTGAGTTGTTGTCTGATGGAAATTCGTGGATTTATCACATTACAAAATTCAAATAAAATTTTCACTTTATTGATGTAAAGAACTTTCTGTCTACACTACACAAATTTCTTCAAACTGTTTTCCCTATATATGGAAAAATTACGCCCCGAAGATGACAACTTGAAATTGTCGAAAGTACTTGGCTCATCAATTCTCTCTGTCAACAACTCATATATACAATGACTCAAATATAAGGATCGTATTATTCAAGGTACTGATAGTAAGTTAATGTCTCACTAATTATTGTTAGTGAAGTGATTTCGTCATTAATCTCATTAACATTTCTAATTAATTCTTTTTTATGATATATATATGTGTGTGTGTGTGTGTGTTTGTGTGTGTGTGTGTGTATATGTGTGCATGTGTACAAATGTGCTTACTAATTCCTCGTAATAAGACAGTATGTATGTATGGATTGGGAATATACATATATACACGCATGTTGACAAAAAAACAAGAAAATGGAAATAGATCTAAGAACACACAAGGGTCATTAAAAGATAAGAATGCCGATAACTCCTTCACCATTTCTCGGATCAATATTAATTGTTTTATAACCCTTCACGCAGATCTTTTCACTGCTACTTCAAGAAGGACATTTGGATCACTAACAGACTTAAAAGAGAATGTCTCATATCACGAATATTTAACATCGAAAAACATAAAGAAAAAAAATTAATTATGTTTAATAATATGTGGAAATCTCCACCCTTTGCCTGATGAAGGTCGCGAGACCGGAAACTGGTGTAGTAAAATTATGGAAAATAAAGCATAATATTTTCTCTCTCTCTCACTCTCTCTCTCTCTCTCTCTCTCTCTCAGTGTGTCTGAAGATTTTAATCTTTTAATATTTTTTTAATATTTTTTATTGTTCAATATATATATATATATATATATATATATAAGTGAACATTGAAGTCAACACTCAGAGGCGACGTGTAATAGAATCTGAGAAACGTGAAAAAAAAAATGAGACAAAGTGGACAAAGTTATAAGCGACGCGTTTCGCCGAGAACATCTGCTGCTCCCTTTGGTTTCTGCATTCTTCAATAAAACGAAAGCAGCATGGAAATTGCCGTTTTAATGAAATGAGTTTATGACTTGCGCATTGAAAAAAAAGCGATGGTTAACGAGTCCTCTGCGATTAATGTAGAACTCGATTATTTTGATTGATTCTAAATCAATACGTAGACACTGAAACAAATCCAGAAATTCTTTTTCATTCTTTCATCCCAAGCACAACAATGACGTCACTAAGATGCAAGTGCTTAATCGCTGTGAAAGTATATGAAAATATGTAAAAAAACTCTAAGAGAGAATCTGTCTATATTTCTGAGATGTATTATATACACTATTTATATTTTTCGGACTATCATCCTCATCTTTGTTGCCATATTTATCACAGCGTTTCGGCCGTTGTACGCTCCGACCTTCTTCGGGTAGTTGGAATGTCGAACCGAACCTTTTATTTAATAAAAATTCTTACAATATGAAAATATTGTCTGGCTTTAAATAAACTGGAAAGGGTTGATAATCCGTAAACAAAACCCAATTAATCAATAAAATACTGATTAGCTGCAGAGGCATGTCGTTTACATTTATTTACATTCTCTGGAATATAAATGTGTAGAAACTTATGTGGTCACAAAGTGAGGGATCAGTTTATATGTTGATTGTAAAATAGGATTTATCCATCACTTTATATCCAGATAATTTCTTGCAAACAAAGAATCCTTAAAATAATTACAACGATCCTTAAAATAAAAGCGACAGCAACGATCCTTTAAATGAACACTACATACTAAAATAATCCTTAAAAGGAACACAAAAACAGAAAGTACCCTTAAAATCAACACAGCTGGATATAACGATCCTTAATTTGAATACAACAGAGAGCAACGGCCCTTAACATGAACACTGTACGCTGCAATGAACCTTAAACTGAACATAGTTTACAGCAACGATCCTTAAAATGAATAGAGCATCTTGCATCGATCCTTAAAATGCTCACTAATCCTTAACGTCGTTGAAGAACAGGAGAAACACTCAGTATGATTTGAGCATATTCTTTTGTAATTCCTCTATATTTAAGCTTGATATTTTCCAGTAAGACTCGAACCACGTCCGTGAAATCCGAGCTTGTCCTCTTTATCAAATAACTCAATGTCCCTTCACCTAAAAAGGACCTAAAAATTGTGGGTTTTTTATTTATTTATTTATTTTTTTAATGATTTCTCATCTCGTAAGAACAGGATGTCAAGCTGACAAAAAAAAAAAAAAAATATAAAAAGTGATTTCGTCGCACGTGAAATTCCCCACGGCAGGGACCCCGTATCGGTGTCAACTCCTAAATCAGCATTATAGCCAAATAAATAAGAGCCCCTGACCCTATTCCATGGCAGATCCCGATTTAAAAGAAGGCCCCCACAAGCCACATCCTACAAATAAGTACGATGTAGCTTGTCGATATCTCTTTAAGTCGTGCGATAACTAACAAACACATCCTGCATCTTGTATTTTCACCAGGTGCACTGATATTCCACTGACTGAGACTAAAGTAAATTTAGTAAATAATTTCAAATATATATTTATTAAGCTTATGTTAGCATGATATTCGTCTTAATAACAAAGTAAATATATAATATAGTGTATAGGTTAACTTGCACGTTCCGAGAGTGTTTCTCACATGATAAACCCTAACACATACATTGGACACACAACAACAACTCTATCACGTAGGCTCACATAACACCTAAATGACACCAGTGCCATAAATAATCATCTTATAACAAATCACTGTACCAGAAGCAACACATTCAAATCACACGAAATAAGAAAAATCTTAATTAACAACAAAATCCTCTATAAAAACAATTGCAAAAAAACGATTACAAACTCTTGAAGTCATGATAATTAAAAACCTAAAAACCTGACATAAATAAAATAGTATTTAATACTGGCAGAAACATCTTAAATATTTAATAACTAATCCTTCAAATAATAAACATCCACCCTCTCCTTATTAATAATGAACTAATCCAACCACATTGTCTAAATACCCAAAATATTGTCTATAATAATAAAATAATAAGCAACATATTTCAAACCAAAACATACAGCCATGATGACGGTTGACGATAATCGAAAGTGCTCGGCAAAACACTATGGATTAGGGTCTTATTTCAACAATATAGATCCATATATAATATTAGGTTGGTGCAAAAATAATGACGTAATAATGTCGTTTTTTGACGTTAAAAAATACGTCAAAAAACGACATTATTACGTCATTATTTCTGCTAACCGAAACACTTCTCTGTGTCTCAATCGGTAAAAGCACGTCAGGTTATATGACGGTTTTGTATAGAATACAGGTTCGATTCCTATCGGCGGACGAATATTTTCTATTTTTTTCATTCAGACCAGTAAATGTTGTTAATACTGTTTATTATAAACAGAACATTTATTTAAATATTTGTATCTATAATAACAACGTAAAAACATAAAAAAATGTCTTATATATATATATATATATATATATATATATATATATATATATATATATATATATAATGATCTATTTGGTCATTACGTTTAAGCTTCAATTGAAATTTTCTTGCATTCATACAAGTCTTTTTTTCTGGATATAGTTTGGGTAAAACTGTCCAAATGATTTGTAGATCCAATTCCTTTCGACTAATCTATTACGCATTAACAAAGAAGTTTTTGTTTAACTCAATATGCATATTTCTTTTCATGTATATATACGAATGGGAATATTTTAATTTGAAAACATGTTGGCCGTATACAGAAATTAAAACCATTCCCATCAGAAACGTTGTAGCTACGGCATATTGTTAATTGGGGAATCTAGGTGTGTAATTGTACATGGCGAAGTGTTAATCTCGAAGGCCCAGACGAAAGACATGGGCAGAACATTCATTTTTAATTTTACGAACAGAAAGAACAGAGTTCTCGCATTGCATAATATTTCTCGTTTTCGACGAGAACTCCGTAATGAGAAGATTAATTTTAAATAGCAACAAATCTGTAAACAGTAATTTCTTTTTTACGAGATCCAAACAGGAATGCTAGGCATCTCCCATCTGAACGCATTGTACACGCGGTACTTGATGTTTAAGACACCTTGAAAATGAAAACATCTTGTATTCACTTCCCTGGCAGGCCATAGCAGCGACTATGGCTACTTTGAGAGGCTTACTGATTTTTCGAGCAATCTAATGTAGGACTATGTACTGGTCTCCAGGATTAAGTTACAGCGAAAACTAACGCGTGTAAAACTAGTTGCAGTTAAGGCAAATCGTTTTACCTTTTGAAAATCGGCCTTTGTTTCTTTTCGACTCTCCAGAGCTATATAGTCTTTTTCCAACGTTTTTTTTTTTAAATAAAAAGGAAATAAGACGACAGTTCGAAACAATTTATTTTCTTTTGTTTATTAATCCATTCACGTTTTTTAGTTCTAAAATTTTCAATTTCTCCTCCATACAGAGATTACGATTTTTAGCGCCACTCCCTTTCATCGTATAGTAGTTGTTGCTTAGGGCTAGCAGAAATTAACGCATTTGTACGTGTATGCGTTGTGTATAGGCGTTGCTACGTAAGGTAATGGCAAAGATCCTCGGACTATAATCATCCCTCAGTTGTGTCTCTGACTGCAGAGAGAGAGAGAGAGAGAGCAACATATTGAGAGGTGTTCGGTCCTGGGGATCAGCTGTCCTGTCCCAAGGAACAGCTATCTGGCCCCGAGGAACAACTGCCCGGTCCCGGGGAATAACTGGCCGGTACCGGGGACCAGCTACCCGCTCCTTTGAAACAACTGTCCGGTCCCATGGAACAGCTGCCCGGTCCCGGGGAACAACTGCCCAACCGCAAGGAACAACTGCCCGGACGCGGGGAACAACTGCCCCGTCCCGGGGAACAGCTACCCGCCCCCGGGGAACAGCTACCCGCCCCCGGGGAACGTTTTTCATTTCTATAATTTTGTATAATAGTGGTTGAATAGGGCCAGCGCAAATTAACGCATTTGTACGAGTAGAGGCGTTGTGTATAGGCGTTGCTACGTAAGGCAGTGGCAATGGTCCTCGGATGTTATGATCCCTTAGTTGTGTCACTGACTGCGGAAAGAGCGCAACTGTAAAACATATTGAGAGGTGTCCAGCCCTGGGGAACAGCAACCCTCTCCCAGGTAACAACTGTCCAATCCCGGGGAACAGCTACCCGCTCTCGAGGAACAGCTGCCCGGTCCCATGGAACAGCTGCCCTGTGCCAGGGAACAACTACCATGTCGCAGGGAACAACTGCCCCGCCTCGGGGAATAAGTGCCTGGTCCCGGGTAACAACTGCCCGGTCTTGGGGAACAGCTGTCGGGTGCCGGGGAACAACCGCCTTGTCCCAGGGAACACCTGTCCGCCCGCGGGAAACAACTGCCCGGTCCCATGGAACAGCTGCCCGGTCCGGAGAACCGCTACCTAGCCGCGGGGAACAACAGTCCAATCTCAGGGAACAACTACCCGGTGCCATGGAACAACTGCCCGCTCCCTGGGAACAACTGCCTGGTCCCGAAGAACAGCTACCCGGCCGCGTGGAACAACTGCACGGTCCCAGGGAAAAACTGCCCGGTCCCATGGAGCAGCTGCCCCGTCCCGGGAAACAGTCACCCGCTCCCAGGAAACAACTGCTCGGTCCTGGGGAACAAATACCCAGTCCCGGGGAACAGCTACACAGCCCCGAAGATCAACTGTCCGGCCCCGGGGAACAACTGCCCTGTCCCAGGGAAAATCTGCCGGAGACCGTACTCAGTCATTCCACTTAAGAGGTGGGATCGGTAATAATACCCCTGCAGACGTAACCAACGGTTACAGATGCTGGACATGTTTTATCCCTAACCTGGGTGCACACGCATGGGCGCCACACATTAAATCGATCTTGTATTACATCCCTTCAACGAGGTGGGGGCGTGTAAATATCAGGGTACTTGGACTTTTCTCATTGGTACGAGCAATATCTCGTCTGGGTGACCGAGAAGCGAACTTCTCTGCCAGTAGTATTAGCTTCAGCCCCAGGAGACCATATTCTCAGACAATACCTCTCCTTCAAGATATGGCTGGAAATTTACTGACATGACTTGGGATTTTTTCTACGGTACCATCGATAAACTCACATTAAACCCGGCCTTATATTACATTTCTTTCCGGTGTGGGCACATAGCTAAATACTATGATAATCGGATCGGCTTGTGGAACTAATACTGACTGCATCCAAATGCTATACCTTTTCTATTAGGTTGGTGCTAAAATAATGTCGTTTTTTGACGTTCAACTTAACGTCAAAAAACGACATTATTTTTGCACCAACCTAATATTATTTAATACACTTCGTTTCTATTATATACTATTCCACTATTTGTGTCTTCTTTTTCATGTTTAGTTCCTATATGTGTTTTGTAAACATGTTGATATTTTTCTATCATTCATATTTGAATAATAGCAAATGGTTTGCATAGATTTCTTTAAAATCCTTTGCACGTGCTCCGATGTAAATCTCCGACTCCACTGGGATTTCTTTTGTTGCCACTTTCGCCTTATATATTTTCCTCTCTGAATTTGTGTTAATGTTCTTGTATTATCGTTATTTATTATTTTGTTGTTATGTTTTATTTTTAGATTTCTAACCATGGTGCCACGCCCACTTGTAAGCGCTTAGATTCTTGCAAAGAAGAATAAAAAAGCCTCACCTTCCGACACCAACGTTATCATTATGGTCACCCGGCCATTCTCCAGATTCAGCAAAGCAACGTCATTTAGATACGTCTTTAATAGCATTGCCTTTCCGTCGCCGACATCTTAATTGGCGACTGAGACAGCGGGCTCGACAGAACAATTATTCAGAAGAAACGACGACCATTTGCGCCGACGTCACCGCGTCGCTTGTCTTTTAGCACAACGGCACCGCCCTTAAAACGAGACAAACGCCGAGTTAGATCAAAGAAGTTTTCTTTTGAAGAAGATTCGAGAATTATTTATAACTTGTTCCTTCCATATCTATGTCGATGTAACTTCGATTTTCTTTTCTCTTTGTTCCCATATCACTTCTGCTGTGTGTCGTAGTTCTATATTTAAGCAGTGGGGGTACTGGTTAACAAGCTAATCTTGTAGGGACATAATTACAGTACATCGTCCCGATCCTTGTGTCGGCTGAACCTAAGGTGACTCCATAACTATATACAAGCTGTTTTTATGATGTCCGTTAAAGTAGTGGTGCCATCGAGTGCTAATCGGACACTAGCTTAACGAATTAGCTTGAGGGAAGAGATTTCTAACTATGGTGCCACGCCCACTTATAAGTGCTTAGGTCTTGCAAAGAGAAAAAAAAATCCTCACCTGCCTCACCGACGTTATCATTTTGGTCACCCGGCCATTCGCCAGATTCAGCAAAGCAGTGTATTTTAGATGCGTCTTTAATAGCATTGCCTTTCCGTCGCAAACGTCATAATTGGCGGCAGAGACGTCAAGCTCGACAAACCAATTCCTCTTATCAACACGATTCTTGGTGACAAGAAAAATTTTTTTAGCTAATTCGATAGTGCTGATTCCAAAAACGAACTTAGTTATTCATGGTTAGCTACCATTTTTGCTGTATTGAAATTGCTCATGTTTGGAAAAAAAGATCAATTCACGATCTTGGCTGATCGCAAAATTTAGTTAATAAAGGTCGTAGAAAACCATCAATTTTTAGTTAGGCCGAGCAATTTATGTCAGTCACCCGAAATTAACTATTTTTATTCAAAAAATGTGTTTTTGAGTCACCAAAATTCAAATTTACTGATAAATTTTATCATTACTACACTTTAGTAAACCTTTATAATTAAGGTGACATCAAAAAAAAAAATGAAACCCTAAAATCTTCTGTTTGATATTTATAGATTTATTGCATCATTTTTATCTTTTCACTATGGAAGGAAACCAAGCACATTGAGAGCATTTTAGTTTTCACAGTTGAAAAGAAATTCCAACTAGACATCCCAATTGAATGCACCTATTCCATTTTACATGATACTGCTGGATGATACTCCAGGGGACTTAAATAACATTGAACATGAATGACAATCAAGAAAGAGAAAATTTTTACCATAGTTCTTATGTTCACGAAGGTTTTATTTCTGCTGTTAGTTTATGAAATAAACTTTATCTTGGTATATTCAATCGTTCTATTTTTTAAGACTTAGGGTCTGATTGTTATTGCAAAAAATAGTATTTATCAGTAAGTAGACCAATATTTGTTGGTTTAAATACGAATTGAAAGTATTCTACGATTTTATTTTGAGAAATATTGCCATTGGTCAATATCATATATATACAGAAAAATGAAAAAATCTTTTTTTTTCAAAAATGATGAATATCTGTTTAGCAAAGACCCTAACCAAGAAAAAGTAATGTCATTTTCAGATTCAGCGCCCTCAAATTAGCTAAGAATAATATTTGGTGTCAGGACAGCATTTCAGATATTTTTTTGTTGATCAGTTATACAATTATATTCGTGTTAATGTTTTTGTATTATCGTTATTTATTATTTTGTTATATGTTTTATTTTTATGATTTTCCTAATGTTATTATTGTTCTTCTATTAAATATGTATTTAAATTTGTGGGACTGTTTGTCTCTGTCTTTATTTTTTCAATATTCTTATATATGTATCAATTAAGTCATATTGTTTTTCGATTTTTCTTATCCGGTTTTGGTTTTGGTTTGGATTTGGTTATAGATTCTATTTGAATCAGCCATACTTTATTGCTTTTTTTTTCCCCATTAAATGTTCTTAATCAGAATAGTTATATATATATATATATATATATATATATATATATATATATATATATATATATGTGTAGTATTATAAATTAATTGATTTAAAATATGTTTTTTTTAAATCAATTAATTTATAATATTAATGCTCTGTAAATTTACATTGAGCACTATTTTGTAAAAATAAAATATCTATAAGAACACCGGATTATATATCTTACTGTTCTTTTTTTTTTTATATATATATATATATATATATCGAGTGTAAAACAAAATTGTCTTAATCATGTAAAACCCAAAATTGCTAATTGTAAAGGAATTTAAGATTTTTTTCTATTTTCGGATGATTCACCTTGGTTTTCTGTTATATATATATATATATATATATATATATATATATATATATATATATATATATATATAAATTAAAGCGGAATACTAAAGAAATCCATTTAGCTGATAATTTATTTCTTCGGATCAGGTGCCCATTTCTTCAGACCAAAAATTTTAAAAATAAAAAAAAAAATTTTTGATCTGAAAAGATAGGTGCCTGATCGTAATAAAATGAATTATCACCTAAATGGAATTCTAAGGTCTCTGATTTTATTATAATCGCTCTTTTCTTACACTGAGCTTTCTTTGGATTTATATACCCTTGGAATTATCCCAACTAATTACCAATGATACACACACACACACACATATATATATATATATATATATATAAATATATATACGTATATATATATATATATATATATATATATATATATATATATATATATATATATATATATATATATATATATATATATATATATATATATATATATATATATATATATATATATATATATATATATATATATATATATATGTTAAGAAATGGACAAGGTCCGACAATTTATTTATTAAAGACATTTTTTATGTTTAACGTTGTTATTTTATAGATACAAGTATTTAAGCAAATGCTCTGTTTATGATAAACAGTATTAAATAAGAACGAATATTTTCTATGAAAATTTCTCGGACATTCAGGCCGGTAAATGTTATTTAATACTTTTTATCATAAACAGAGCATTTGCTTAAATACTTGTATCTATAAAATAACAACGTTAAACATAAAAAATGTCTTTAATAAATAAATTGTCGGAATAACAATTCCATGGAAAAACGTCATTTGTTTACATTCGATACGCCAGAGCAGTTATAATGTACGAGATTCATAAGATTGAGTTTATAAGCGTAAATTCCCTTGTCTACCGATTGGTTCTTTGTAGCCTAGAGGTAAAGGCACGTCAGCGTATATGACGGTTCCGTATAGGATGCAGGTTCGAATCCTGTCAAAGAACGAATATTTTCTATGAAAATTTCTCGACATTCAGGCCGGTAAATGTTATTTAATACTGTTTATCATAAACAGAGCATTTGCTTAAATACTTGTATCTATAAAATAACAACGTTAAACATAAAAAAATGTCTTTAATAAATATATATATATATATCTGACATTATTTCTTTTTGCTATACATCTTACCTTTAGTCACGGAATGTTTTTGAGTAAACATTACTGTTTTTTGTAAAAGTGAATTCTTTTCAACTATCCTCAGAAGTTCTATGCCAAAAGAAAATTAAATAAAACGTTAAAAAAAAACAACAAATTAATTTCCCAAACGATACTATTGCTTATGAAAAGAATACAACAGAATCAGTAACTTGGCAAAAGAAAGAAAAACAAAAGAAAAAAATGAGAAAAGAGAAAAAACAAAAAAAAAAAATATGAAAACAAAAGATGTATCTTTTTTAAATAATACTAGTGCTACAGAAAAAAATGAAAAAAATGAAAAAAAAGAAGAAAAAAAAAGAAAATAGGTAAATGAAAGGAAGAAAAATATGGGGAAAAAAGAGTGAAAACAAAAAACAAATAAAAAAGGAATCTTTTTGAACACTACTAATAATGGCAAAGAAATTGAACCGAATCAGAAAGTAGTCAAAACAAAGAGAAAAAAACAAGAAAAAATAAAATGGAATAAAAAAAAAATGAAAAAAAAAAGTTAAAACAAAAATACAAATAAAAATATGATTTAAACGATATCTTGTTCTGATGAAAAAATTGAATAGTCAAAAGAAAAAAAATTGAATAGACAAAAGAAAAGAAGGAAGTAAAAGGAAAGAAAAAAGAAAGAATTTTTTTTTAAAATAGCTAAAAAAGTAAAACAAATAAAAAAATGAAAAAAATAAACAGAAAAAAAAAGAAAAAATGATCTATATCTTAAACAATATTAGTGTTTATGAAAAAAATGTTTATTATGAAACAAAAAAAAAATATACTGAACCCAGAATTAGAAAGTTAGAAAAAAGTCAACGAATAAATGAAAACGAAGAAAAATTAATAAAATTCTTATTAAAATTAAAATAAGAATCAAATATAGTTAAGATTAAAAACATTCAAAGATACCTACACTATATGACTTACCGAAAGCAAACAAACGCAACACCCATGCAGTCTATTATAATTATTGTAGTCATATAGATATAATAGTTAAATTAAAAATTAAAAAGAAAATAAACTAAATGAAGAAAAACACTATGTATAATTACAGGATTTGTTCCCAACTGTTAAAGTATTAATGCTCACTCATCCATTTTAATTGGTTTTAAGTGGAAACCTATAAGTAACAACACATTTTTCTAAATGTATAATTTATACCAGATTTGTTTTATATAGCTCTGTGTAATAATGGATGTTTTTTAATATTATTATAATTCTACTTGCCCCTCCCGTAGTTAGAACGTCCGTTACGCCCTGTCAATACTTCATGATTAATGGACTATACCGTTCTGATCACGTGAAAAGAGGGAAAAGCATATCAGAGACGCTACTTGGTTTCAGTGAGAAATTGAAAGAAAGAAACAAAGGAAGATGGGCATTTTTAAGGTCCCCTGCCAAGTAAATAATGGACCATTACGTTTCGCTCGCGTGGAAAGACGGAAAAGACATATCAATGATGCTGCTTGTTTTCAGTGAGAAAAAGACAGAAAAAAAGAATGAAAAAAGAAGTGTTTAAACTATCTTGACATTACCTTATAAATAATGGACTATTCTTTTTTAATCGAATGGAAAGAATGAAAGACATATCAGTGCTGTTACTGTACTTGGGGTTTTGTGAAAGAAAGAAAGAAAGAAAGAAAGAAAGAAAGAAAGAAAGAAAGAAAGAAAGAAAGAAAGAAAGGAAGGAAGACAGACAGACATGTTTCACCTATCCTGCCATTACCTTATAAATAATGGCCTATTCTGTTTTGATTGAATAGAAAGAAGGAAAGATATATCAGAGATGTTACTGGGGTTTGGAAAGAAAGAAAGAAAGAAAGAAATACATACATGTTTAACCTATAAATAATGGACTATTGTATGGACATGTTTAACCTTATAAATAATGGACTATTCTTTTTTAATCGAATGGAAAGAAGAAAAGACATATCAGAGATGTTACTTTACTTGGGGTTTGGTAAGAAAGAAAGAAAGAAAGAAAGAAAGAAAGAAAGAAAGAAAGAAAGAAAGAAAAAAAGAAAGAAATGTTTAAGCTATCCTGCCATTACCTTATAAATAATAGACTATTCCGTTTTGATTGAATGGAAAGAAGGAAAGACATATCAGAGATGTTACTGTACTTGGGTTTTGGTGAAAGAAAGAAAGAAAGAAAGAAAGAAAGAAAGAAAGAAAGAAAGGAAAGATAGAAGAGTTTAACGTCTTTTTCAGGGAAAACAAAAAAATGTCAATTTGAAATCTCTTCATTTGTATCCCCTTCGTAAATAACCACCAGCATTCATATATATGATTGTTTTGGTGACATTTTGTTAAAGTTGTTGAACTCAAATATTTAACGATGTGATAAGGGTAAATTCTACGGATATTTTATTGCCGCAGATCTTGCTATGAGCTTATTCAATACTTAAGTTAAGAATTAAGGTCCATCAAAAACTTAAAATAGGAAAACCGTGAAATTTCGCTCACTAGGATAGACTGTTCTAGATCCACGTGCCATGTTTAATGGATGTCAGTTATCAGGACACATAGCACAGTGGATAAAGGCGTTGGTTAGATCCAGTGACAGGACCCAAAGAGTGTGAATTCAATACACGTTTAAGGCAGTGAAGAATTTGAAGAGGAGAATTAACAGGAGATAACTGATAGCTGACATCCATTAAACATGGCACATGGAACGAGAACAGTCTATCCTAGTGAGCGAAATGAAGAGTTCAGTTCGACATTCCAACCACCTGAAGAAGGCCGGAGCGTACAACGGCCGAAATGTAATAAATATGGTAACAAAGATGAGGACAATAGCCGAATAATGTAAATAGTGTACATAGTACCTCATCTCAGAAATATAGACAGATACTGAAGGGCCGAAACGTTGTGATAAATATGGCAACAAAGATGAGCACAATAGTCCCAATAATGTAAATAGTGTACATAATACCTCATCTCAGAAATATTGACAGATACTGAAAGGCCGAAACGTTGTAATAAATATGGTGACAAAGATGAGGACAATAGTCCGAATAATGTAAATAGTGTACATAATACTTCATCTCAGAAATATAGACAGACACTTCCCAGATATTTAAATTTTCGCACGTGCTTGTTTCTAGTGTACCTGACCTGTAAATCACATTTTAGGCTCATCCTTTATACTGACCACCATGCATTCTGTTTTCTTGTAGTTTATGCTTATTTACACCTGTTTAATACTAAGTTTGATCGATTCGATGAATTAAAAATGTCAACTGATCTCAAAAATAACTTTTAATCTGATGTTCACCGTCCTTTAAATCGAGTAGTTTAGAATAGGAAAAAAAAATCAAGCCGGTTTGGTGTTCGTCATTTATTCGCTCGTAAAAGGGAAAAAAGAAAAAAAATGGATTTCGAACAACGACACCGTTTCGATATTTCTAATTGTTTGTGTCGAACTATGAACGGGGTTTCCTTATTTGAAATCGTCAGTTGTACTACGACAGTCGAAGCCTCCGCCCCGTGCCGAAATACGAAAG